AATAAGGCACAGTTGTTCAAATGTGCATTATTATTCTGCGGTTAATCCCCTCTGCTCACCTCAAATCGTTTCACTTCCCTGGCTTCGTAAGATCGCTGATGAATGGAATATGAAATATCCGCAAAAGCGGCCCACTTACCAAAATGCATCGAAACTGAATTTCCCAAAAAAGACGGTTGAATGAGAACCAAAAAAGCATAGCTCCTTACGCTACCAGCAAAAAAAAAAAAAAAAAAAAAAAATTCTGGGACATTCCGCTTCCACATTTTCCTGTCGAAACCCCCCTGAAAAATCCGATAAGCATCCAAACTCCGAATCATACAGACCATTCTTCCAAAGAATTGTTCCAACTTCACCAGCGTACTTAGCACGTTGAAGCGCCAAACAAACTTCAGTCCACTTTCGAGAATCGTCAAAAAGCGGACCCACCATAACCTTGCTGGAAGTGCTTCCTTCTAGCAAACTGTTATCACTCTCGCTATTTCTCAGTGTATTGATTTTTCATATAAAAATTGGATCTGGAAAAGGGTTTGTTGGCCTCTGACAGGTCCAAAATTCGAAACACACTGATTTTTACGAGAAAAGAAATAAATTTTTTCCACCTTTAATAAAAGGGATATGAAATTCGCCTAAAACGGCATTCTGAATGCGTAGGGTCAGCCCACTGATCAAACTGCTGAGAGGGAGGATTAACAAACAGGAAAAGAAGGAAAGAGATGGAATCAAATTTAAAAATTTGGCAACTAAAACTGGACAGTGACATAAATGAAAGCACCGGCTATCAGGGCGCATATGCTAAAAACAACGGTCAAAGTACTAAACGCGTGAAGGTTGGTACCGTGATCCTGGGGCTAGGAAACACACTGACAAAATTTCAGCTTCAAAGCTTGCGTTGTTGACAAATTGAAATACCCGGACAGATAAGCGCGCGTGTGCGCACACACGCACACACACATACAAACACATACAAACACAAACATATACACATACACACACACACACACACACACACACACACACACAGGATCGTTGCAATATGCGTTTTTGCTTCCTATTGCAGCGCTCTAGCGCTGCACGGCAAAAACGAACAAAAAAGGAATTGAGGCTCAGATCACACGAAAATTAACATCAGTTATTGAAGCTTATCATGGCACTCATATCCATATAAAACTTAGGTTGGAGCGCATCAGACTGCCCGTGCGATCTTGCGTTTTCGCACTATACTTGAAGCAAACATGTCGTTAACTATATAAATGATTTTTATGCGTTTTTGCCGTGCAGCGCTAGAGCGCTGCAACAGGCAGCAAAAACACATATTGCAACTACCCTGTCAGTGTGTGTGTGTGTGTGTTCGTCTGTCCGGGTGTTTCAACTAGCCAACCACGCACGCTTTGAGGCTGAAATTTTGCCAGTGTGTTCCCCAGCCAAGTACACCCCAGGATTGCAGTATCAACCCTCACGCACGTCTGGGTCCCGCGAACGATCACGTGAAAGTTTTGGCGCGAAAATTGATAACTCGGGATCGAGAAAAGCTAGAAAGCTGAAACCTTGGGAGAATGTTCCCTACCTGTGTATGACAGAAAGATTTCAAATTCAGCTCTCCAGGACTGCCCGGGGCTTACGTACGGGCACGTGAAGATTATGGCGGAAAAATTCATAACTCGGGCACGCGAAAAGCTAGAAAGTTGAAAATTTAGAGGAATGTTCCCTACACATTTACGATCAAAATCAGGTGTTCAGAAGCGCCTGAGACTCACGTGCGGGCACGTGAAAATTTTGGCGCGAAAATCACTAACCCAGGGACGGGAGAAGCTAGAAAGCTGAGACTTTAAGGGAATGTTCCCCATTCATGTACGAGCAAAATCAGGTGTTTAGAAGCACCCGAGCCCACGTACGAGGACGTGGAAATTGTGGTGCGAAAATTACTAATCCGGGAGCGGGAAGAACTAGAAAGCTGAAACTTTGAGGGAATGTTCCCTACTCATGTACGAGCAAAATCAGGTGTTTAGAAGCACCTGGGCCCACGTACAGGCACATGGAAATTTTGGCGCAAAAACCACTAACTCGGGAACGAAAAAAGCTAGAAGGCTGAAACTTTAGGATAATGTTCCCTACTCATATATGACCAAAAGATTTCAAATTCAGCTTCTTAAAACTGTCCGGTAATCACGTACGGACACGTAAAAATTTTGGTGGGAAAATGCAATTTGGGAACAAGACAAGCTGAAGGCTTTAATTTTAAGGGAATGTTCCCTAATTATGTGCGACTAAAAGATTTCAAATTTAACTCTTCTAGTGTGGCCTTTTTTGCGGACTAGCACCTTTCCATTTGCCGGGTCACTGAAGCCGACATCTACAACTGACATACCACATAGCTGCGCAACTTCCCGAACTTCGAGGGCTAGTATGTCACAGGTTTAGCTACTGTGATTCCTTGCGATCTTGTTACGGCATGAGAAGTGCGAAAACGCATAATCGCACCGGCCCGCCTGGTGTGTTCCAGCCTGGGTTGCTTTACATTTGTTTTTCTTGCGCGCTCACTAACGTAAATCATCGTAAATTTTGTGTAAAAGGAAAGTGAACAAATTTTGTTTAACGGTCAGTTTTTATGAGTTCTGGCATATACGCAAACGCAAAAACGCATATCACATAATGGCGAGAGGAATCTGCATGTTTGTGCGTGTGTGTGCCCGTGTGTTTGCATTTTTTGTCACCAATTTTCAACCTGCGAACCAGAAAAGCTAGAAGGCAAAAAACTCGGCAGCATGTGCCCACATCATAAGCAACCTTTCGGTTTAATACCATCACATGCGGGGAAGTGATTTCGAAAACCAGAAAGTAGAGGAGGCTGAAACTCCGCAAGGATATTCTCCGTGCATGTTTAAGCCAAAGATTTCAAATTCAGTCCCCAGATGTGCGTGGTTCTCATGTATGGACACATAAAAGTTTTGCCGAAAAATCTGCTAACTCGACAATCGGAAAACCTGGAAAGCTGGAATTTTAAGGGTATATTCCCGTCCACGTACAACTTAAAGATTTTGAATTCAGCCACCAAGTGCGCGTGATACTCACGTATGGGTATGTGAAAGTTTTGATGGGAAAATTACTAATTCGAGAACCAAAAAAGCTAGAAGGCTAAAATTTTAGAGGAATGTTTCCTGTCCAAGTGCAACTTAAATATTTCAAATTCAGCCTCGAGGTAAGCGTGGCTCTCGCATACGGACATTTAAAACTTTAGGCGGGAAAGTTGCTCACTGAATAGTCAGGTCATTTTCAAAGAATGATCGTTGGACGGAACTTGTTCATTTCCTTCATGCGAAATTCACGATGATTTACGCTAGTGAGCGCAAAAAATAGGCGTTATGCAACAACCATTCACGCAGTTCACGATCCGAGTACTTCATGCCTTATTAAAAAACGCATGATCGCACCGGCAAGTCAGGTGCATTCCAACCTGGGCTGGAAATGAACTGTCTGAGCAGTGAGTAATTTTCCCGCCAAACTTTTCATTGCCCGCACGTGAGAACCACGCATAGCTGGGGGCTGGACTTGAAATGTTTAAGATGTACTTGGGCAGGGAAAATCCCGTTAAAATTTCAGCTTTCTAGCTTTTCAGTTAGCAATTTTCCCATCAAAATTTTCACGTGGCCATAGGTGACCACCACGAACACCTGGCAGCTGAATCTGAAATATTTCTATTGTATATGGATGGCAAATATCCCATTAAAATTTTAGCAATTCAGCTTCTCTGGTTCCCGAGTTAGCAATTTTCCCACCAAAACCTTTAAGTGCTCGTACACGGGGCCCAGACATGCGTAACAGTTGATTTCGCAATTCTGGGATGACACTTGGCTGAGGAACCCACAGGCAAAATTTCAGTGCCGAAGCTTGCTTGGTTGTCGAGTTGAAATACCCGGACAGACAGGCAGACACATACACACATATACACATGCACAAACACATACATAAACGCGCATGCATAAACATACATAAAAATACCCACATAAACATACACACAAACAGACAATGGGTGGTCACAATATGCGTTTTTGCATTTGCATATATGCAAAAACGCATTATGAGTTCTTTTTTACAAAAACCACAGTCATCTTTCTGGAAATCAAGCGTTTTTGGTAAGTCATCCGAGTATAAAGTATATAAGAATCTCAAAATCTTACCCGCAGTATTTATTCTTTCGAAGTAAGTTCCTACCTCCTCTCCCTCCCTCCCCCACTTTCTCTGTGACATCCAAAGCAAAATGGCGCAGAGTGAAGCATATTATAGACCGGCTGCGCAAAGGGCTGAAATGGAAATAATCGCTAATTTTCAGAGCTAGAAGCTCGTTCGCCGCAGAACACTACTCTCCGTGCTAAGAAACATGACTGATGAGACTAACAAAAAAGCAACAGCAAATTTAGTCAAGTACATTGAAACACATTTCTTCGCAAGTATGCCAAAGGTGACGCTTACGGTAATCTCTGTCTAATCATGACAGGAGAAAAATTCAACGAAAGCAAGTGTGGCTGACAGCTAGTGAAAATAACTTACTGTGGAATTTACCAAAACACTTCCAATTTTCCATCAGAAATGCGGAACGAGTCAGAAATAATGCTGACAAAAGAGCAGTCGAAACACTTCTGAGATGCAACAAAATCTACCAAAAAAAAAAGTTATGCAAGAAGATGCCTGCTCCTACAGGTCCTCTGAAGCGTGTCACTATTTTTTAAGCAAACTTCGGCACCACTGCTTATTTTGTCTTTAACATATCCGGTTAAATTATGCACCTACATAAAAAAATTTTACGTGCTTCTGTCCGGAATTTTTATCACTTCGCGTCCGAGGTATTTCAACGGAATTCATGGTACCGTCTTTAAAATCATCAACTGATAAGTTGGGTCTCCGTAGGCGAAGAACGTATATAACTGCAGCAAAAACCGGAAAAGTGTAATTTCAAAAGAATTACTCAGGTGATGAGGTCAAAAATGCAAAGTGTCACAACTCCTATTAAGGGAAAGGCATATCGACGTTAGTACATTTCATGTCTGAGCTGAGAAAACCATAAATTGAGCAGTGCTATTCTAGTTTAAAACGGCAGCTGACCAACATTTTCTCACCGAAATGCAACCAGGAAGCCAATACCGCGTGTAAAGCCTCATGTGAGAAAAATTAACATTCTTAAAAGCGAACCCTTGATCAGCGGTAGCTGCGTGAGTTCCGGCTCATTATCCGGATGATATCTACTGCTATTCACCAATCGCCTTCGACGCTTGCTTGCCCCTCTGAAAAATGAGCAGTTTGCAAAAGGAAAACAAAACACTTTCAACCTGCTGTTTTTCAGAAACGAAGTTTGTCATAACATTAGGCCAGTACAGACGCCACCAAAAAATTCCTAGGATTTTGGTTTCAGAAGGCCAAGCCAAACATCGAAAAATTTCAGTCTGATGTCATGCTAGACGGTAGTACAAGTTCGTGATAATGGTAAAGAGTACAGCAAATGGTCGGAGGAGTCGGAAATGTGAAAAGAACGTTGGCCAAGAAACTATCACAGAGCACATGACAAACGTTCGCCCACTTTATTCGCGGTGCTCAGTATTCGAATGCTGTGCAAGACCCCTGAATCGATTTTACTAGAGCAAGCTCAAGCAAAGCCATGCTTGCTGTATTCGTTTTCCAAAATGTATCACTTTAGCCTGATGTAATGGGAAGAAGCTCATGGGTTCAGCTAAGCACGAGAAGAACTTGCAAAATCCAGAAATCCTAAAACTTTTAACAAAGCGTCATCTAAACACCTGTAGTGTACAACTCTGAAAAAACAATTCAGGGCTACAACACATTTACTGATATCAGTGGCACTCGGCAACATCCTTTATCTTTCTGGACTCAGACATGAAAATGAATCCTGAAGCCACTAAAGGTAAAATAACGCTGAAAATTTAGAACGCCTGAAAATGAACATTTGTTATACATCTGATCAGCGAAATATACGCTACAGCACACTGTTTTAAATAAAAATCGAAGTCCCTTTCCTTTCCCATCAACAACAAATGTAATTAAGAGGCTGAGAATAGCCCTGCATTTCGTTGAAAATGAAAAATAACGGCGGCAGGCAAAACGGTTTTGAAGCTCAGAAAGATGACAAGAAGCTACGATATCTTCGAAAGGAGAAGCCCTGGAAAGCAACAGAAAAACAACGTTGGATGAATTTGGCAAAAAGTGGAATTGCAGTAAAACGGAAGAACTTTGTAAGACCTTTGAGGAAGACCTGTTTTCGTGTGCTGTCGCTGCGCGCAGCCCTCATGCCTATTACCTACCCTTCTTATATCAACTCAAACCTTTGCGCACAATGAACCAAAAAAGCAACAGAGTTGGATAAAAATTTGAGCTGAGAAAATTCGCGCAGACGATGAGAAGACAGCAAACGCACTCAGTGGGTGATTTACATGGCGCCTCGAGGTAGGCATGTTGTAGAGAGGATGGGAAGGATCTCACTTAACAGTGCTGACATTGAAAAAGGGAAACAGCGAAGACAAGAGCCATCATTTGCTCCATATCACAGCATGTTATGCGCATAATTTGATCTCATATTGAAGTGGCTCTCAATGGAAACAAAAAAGCGCCTTTTCACTACTGATAACACTGCAGTTGGTAGAAAGAGGTATAAAAATACACCAAATACAAAATTTCTTTATGTATATCAAGTACAAAAACGGGTTCGACTCAATGGGACCCAGTGCCAAACCACAGGTTCTTTCGGACCAAACCGTCGATTCGGTGCACATCCCAGTTATCGAAGGCTCTGTCTACGCGTCATATACAGAAATTACCCTTTCCGATGAGCTCAAACAAACAGAAATTGGCAAAAACGTGAAACAAAGTAATAATTGTCTTCTTCCGTTGTATCTGGCAAGAAACTGACGCAGAAATGTGATTCCATATAGACTATAAATGTTGCAAATGCTCAGTTTCGCAGGCAGTGCTGTGCAGATCGCAAAAAATCCACAAGTGGTGAAGAATCTGTCAAATGAACTTGCACCCAATGTAAAGGAGGCAGGGCAAATCAAACGATGAAAAGCAAGTGGATGAAGAACGACGTATATTGCCCGGAACAGCTTTACCTACCTTGGGCAAATACTACAAATAAATAACAAGTTGAGGGCTTATACCTAAGCAAAAGAAAGAGGTCAGGATGGACAACCTTTATGAAGTTACGAGGCGTTTTCTTAAATCTAACGCAGCATCAATCGAGAAAGCAACACTTTGCAATCCCACTGTGCTACCAGTCCTGATGCATGAAAGTGGGACATGGATTACCAATTAGGTTGCAGCCTCCAGGTCAATCCTGAAGGGGCAGATGATGCGGTAAGTAAGAAAGGATAGTGCAGCTCGGGAGTGAGAGTGAGCTAAGACGTTTCGGTCCATTAAGTCATATATTGCTACTGGACAAAAAAAAAAAAACCACGCAACCAGTTTATAACTGGTTATAACGACACAAGTTGCGGTACATCAACAATGAAATATTGCTGTTCTACTTCGGTGTGAGCGAGGATAACAAAACAATGTAACCCAGTGAGAACAGCTGAATTAGCCGAACGAGAGAATGAGAGAAAACAGATGCACAAAGCGGAATGTTAAAAGAAACTAGGAAGGCCAGTAATGCAATTCAGGGAATTGCCTGAATGATTAGGGGAACTTGTACGGATGAAAGTCCAAAAGAGAAAACTGAGAAGCTGCCAGCTTTACTAACAGCGCGAATAAACCAAAAGATAAAACAGGAATCGATCAACGTATAAAATAAAAAGGCGCACAGAAGTAGCCGAAGTGGTAGCAAAGTGCCAAAAGCAGTCATCCGCTTAAGAGCTACTGGTGGGTTTGTTTTTTCAAGAACTACTTGGAAGCAAGCTGAGGGAGATTAGACTTCATGACATGTGCCAGTAGCAGACAACCATCGAACCAGAGGGGCTGTTTACCCCTTTTGCGGATTAACATCTCGAGTCGAAGGCAATTATCACAGTACCAAGCTCGTGCCGAATTACAAATTTTGAAGATGAACTGAGGGCGCATCTCAGCAAAATGCCCATGGATTACGCGGATGGAAGGCGACCGGCCCAAAACTGAGCAATAAAACACTCCTGAACTGAGCACTGGCCGTCCGGCATGACAGTTTTGAGAAACAGAAAGTAAAATGCTGCTCAGTGAAAGTGATTTCAAACTAACCGAACCTTTTCGAGAACGGGTCGATCTTATCAACAAACTGAGTAGCGGTGGCCGAAAGCTGCTGCCCACCGGTTGCAGCGCCCTGGGTTTTTGGAGGCGGTATGTGGTGTTGTGCCGTGCCCAGCCCGCCTTTGTCTCCCATACGGTTTCCTGAAAATGCAAAGAGGTTCCGCGAGTGAAATCAAAGCAGCAAGCTTCTGACAGCCGCACAACTGCTACGCAACGGGACTGCAAGTCTGTCGCTTACAGAGATCAGATGGCAGTGAACTGCAGCGCGAATGCCTGTGTACTTTCGGTGTGCAATTGCTTTTCGAAAACATAAAACGCTGGTTCGCGCCGCTTTTGAGAGTGCCCATTAAGATGCCAAAACTGACCGCAAGACGAAAATTACGCGTGGACGAAGAGGACACAGTCTAAGAGCAGAACAGCAAGCGGTACAGGGCCAACAGCAGGTACTCTCAAGCCTCATCGCACACCCCAACATCAAAATGTCCCGGGATCATCAGTAATGAATGTTCTGTGATGGCATTACGGGACGGCGAGCGCCGCACAACGAACCCTAGCAGGGGCAAAAATACCTCATCCCCAAGAATGCAGTGGCAGCCTCCCCACCTGCCCAGGGACAGCTTCAAATCGCCCTCTCGACAATGCTGCTCTTTATGCCCGGCGGCCGGTCGCTCAGGGCCCCAACCGGCTGCGCGGCAATGCTGCTTACGCTGCAGAAATACCCCTGCGAAACACAATGAAAAATGCCGCGCAATCTGCGCTATTTTGAGTGGCGCGTAGCAGCGAGCAGTCGTCACTCCCAGAAAATCGCATCCGAAAGCTTTCAGGGCCGTTTCATGCAGCAGCGACCAGCTCACCGATCGTGCCGGCAACCTGATCCCGCGTACCCCTCGAACTGTCTCTTTTCCGCCATCTCATTGCTTCCGTTCGCACATCTGACACGGCCACTCCTCGATGCATCCGGCGACACCCCACCCCGCCCCCCTCCGAACTCCTAAGACGCAAGCCCACGCCTGCAACGGTACTTCAGAAGTGAGTGCAGCGACAGGGCCTACATATCACCGAGGGCATTCAATCGACTCCATGGCCCGGTGCAGCTACTGCAGCGGAAAATCCCAGTGCGAGGTAGGTCTGGTACGCGGAGGGCATGAAGTCAATATTGATTCGAGCGAGCAGCTGGAGAAGGGAATTCTCGATGCTACTGCTGCTGCTGTTACTGCTGCTGTTGTGTGAGGAGGGCTGGGCGCCGGCGGCTGGGCCGTCGCATTCGGCGGACAGGCGGCACTACTGCATCGTCGAGATAACGCTCATTAATTGGGCCAACTGCTGCACAGCAATCGAATTTGCGCTGCGAAACATTGTCATGGCGCTAGCCCGAAGGAGATGCATCACGTTGGTCTGGCAGGGGTGCGTGGGCGCGGAGTGCAGCCAACACTGCTGGGCTGCTGCATGGATGGGCTTCAGGCACCGACAGCGAGTGGAACCTTCCCGAGAAAGTCGTAGTAACTTTTAGTTATATCACCAACACCACCAGAAATCACTCGCATATTTCTCACCTTGCTGTGCATCTGTAGAAGCAATAACCCAGGCTGGAACGCACCAGGCTCTCCGGTGCGATCATGCGTTTTTGCACTAAACTCGCAGATCGCTATTAGCAGGAATGATTCCTATGCTGTAGTTAACACTTGGCCGTGCTTTGATGCTTTTCGACATGCAGGAGGAGGGGCGTCAGTTGCGATGAAGGTGGTGCATTATAGAGCCACACGGACATCCAGGTGCATGGTTTTTTGCATGAAATTCGGTCGTTTTTCCGGTAAATGCTCGCTTTGTGAAAAAATAACAAATGCAAATTTTTCGAAAAAATGCAAATTTCCAGTTCACTAAAAAGTGGAAGTATTGCTCGAGCGGTCTTTTATCAAAAAAACCATGTATGCAAATTAACTAATGTTCATTTATATATACGATTGCGGTTCGAGTCCGAGCTGCTGACGATTTTTCAGTTGAGGAGCTGCTTGAGGCTGTGATTGGGGTGCTGGACAGCTGAGTTTAAAATCTTTAACTCGCACGTGCATAAAGAATATCCCTGCAAAGTTTCAACTTTCTACCTTGCGTTGTTCGCGAAATCGTTTCTCGCCAACATGTTTTTTTGGGAGGCCCGAGCGCGGAGTCTAGACGCGTTTGGGGGAACATCTTGAAACGGGAGGATGACACACGGGGTAGGAACATACACCCAAAGTTTCAGCCTCCCAGCTTTCCTGCTTGCTGAGATGAAAATGGGTGACAAAATGCACTCGCTTCCGCACACACACACACACACACACACACACACACACACACACACACA